GAGTCGAAGAAATGTCGGAAGAACAATCGACTGAACATTTGCTGTTATTAAACAATATCACCATTGAGTACAGTTCATCGACACTTAATGTACATGTGTGTGCCGTCGAACTTTGAACCCGTAAACACTTTAAGTTCCTTGAGTATAAGCTCATTTACACTCAATTAAGGTCATCGAATCTGCTAATAAACAACTATTGCTTTTTGCATTTTCCTGGCAGCACTGAGATGGAACCACAAGATTTAGAGATGCCAGATCTTACCGAATACAACCCTGAGGTAATTTGACTGACAGAGAAATGTTGGTAGCGAAAATTTCTAAATCTTAGCCTGTTCCAGGCGTTTAGAAACTGAAACGAAGTGCGTCAGAAAACGGTACGATAGTAGCGAAGGAGTGAAAAAGCGAGAGAGTTTTGGGTCAGGTCACGTATTGAACACTGCCCGATCCAAGCCTCCCACATTTTCTCTCTGCCGCTGATACAGGGCCGTTTAGCATTTCATCTCAAGCAAAAAGGTGTTTCTTGGCCATAACAACTTGTACCTGATAACTTAAAACGTCTTCAAAGCTCAGATTCTACCAGAAGTTTAAGAAAGGAAGCAAAACTTTCCACAAAAGTCTACTTTGACTACGCTTTTTACTTTTTGAGAATCAGGACAATTCAAAACCGGACTCCACCATAGTAAAGTAAGTATGCGGAGAAGGTACTTCTTAACACCAACATGACCGCTTAGAGTCCAAAAATTATTGTTCAGAGTTAAGTTTAAGGTAGAGGAAAAGACCAACTAAGAGATTGACTTACATGACCCGGCAGGGAATAGAGCCAGGACCTCTTGATCAGAAGCTCACTCTCAAACCATTAAGCCACCACATTAGAAATCTTTTTGGTCACGTGTTCTCACAGCAGGTCGTGGATGAACGAGTCGTTTCCTCCACCAATCATGGTCAGCCAGGCATCTTACCTACATCCAACGCACAAGGAGAGCTGATATCCATTCACACCACAAGATCAAGGCAGCCAAGTGCAATCCCAGCAGTACCCGCAGCAGTGCTACACGTATCGCCGTAAAACGATTTCTGTTGTCTTCTTTGCTGAGGAAAAAACTGATGAAATCATAAAATAGGAGACAAAAGCAGACCCTGATCGAAAGAGAAAATTGGCATAAACTTTAACGAGGGCGACCTAGGAAAAGTTAGGTATCATTTTTTTCAAAGAGCGTTTTAAGGAAGACCAATGCATGAGCGTAATTCTAGCTCTCTGTTAGTTTTTATCATTCCCAAGAGTTAATGCAAGTTGTTATTGCTGAAATACTGCGCTTAACAAAACTGCTACGGCAATATTCAACAGACCAAAAGGCACCTGACAATGACAAGAAATTTTAACCCTTAAACTGTTCATTCTCCCCCCAGTTGCTTTGCACTTCCTTGCAAAATAGAGAATTTGGAAATAGACCAAGACAAAAGTCTCTACTGATAATTTTCTCGTTACATTTTTGCTGGATAGTGTCTGTTTATCATGGATAGAATTTTCATGTTAATCACTTCTGGGAGGTTACAGGGTTAAAACAGTCAAAATGTAAGGTACAAGTGTAAAGAAAGTTGTTATATTTACAGTTTAGTACAAGCTTAAAGCGATCATATTATAAGCAAGCGATTTCGTACATAAAAAATTGTAATGGGAATTCGAAACTTAAAAAATGTAACAGAAATAAAAAGAGCAATTATGTAAGACAGAGAGTCAAGGCGAATTTGAAAGACGTCTAGTTTGTAGCCTTAACGTCGATTGAATATTATTGTGTGGATCATTTATTTACAAACTATCTAATAAAATGAGGTGTTTTCCGTTTAATCTTAATTTGTCTAACCTTACTTTCTTTCAATGTAGCCGGCTTGTTTCCTGTGCGGGGAGTAACGTATCTTAAAATACCTACCAAGCGAAAATAAGTAAATAGTTTTCTTTTCTTGAGAGTGAAATATGTTGTAAATCGTGGACAATAATTTCATTAAGTTATCTGTTGTCTACACAGTTTGAGCTTGTATTGTCATTTTTTCCCAAGGCTCATATATATTTGAAAGTATTTGATCTCGTAACCAAGTCCTACTTGTCTAGTCGGTCGTCAAAGTACTGGGAAAGACGAGACTACATAGTTGCATAACTAACGCACCATACAGATAAAGATAAAATGATGAAGTACGACAGACAGATGAGAATTCTTCGCTGCACAACTCAAGCATAAAAACTGAAGCCTATTCAAGACGATCACTACGTGAGACTATGTGATCCTAGGAAACATTTTATGTGTAATTTGATGTCGCTTTTTGGTCGACTCAGAATATCGTTTTCCGCGATCAAGCGCCCGGGTTGCTTATTTAAAATTTCAGCTAAAAGGAGGGGCACTTATTGGAACGAAGGTGCTTGATCGAAGGGTGTGCTTATTGAGTTTTCCTTTCAACGAACTGAAACTTTAATAGTTTACTTGGCCAAATCTTATAAAGAAAAACAACTTCAACATTTAGTCCACCTTAAGTCACTATGGAGGTAGGAATAGGTATTGTTATCGGCCGAAATTGACTCATTTTCGAATAGAAAAGTACGTGCATTTTAAAACATTGTATAATTGCTGGCCGCCCTATGCAGAGCAAAACCATAAATCACCAAAACTTACGTGGTCTGAGAGTTTAAACATTGACGGGGAATCATTTAGGTTTATATTTAAAACTCAACGTTGCAAGCGCTCTCATATTTTAAGCTGAAGTTGAGTTCTGGCGCCATTAGACACGATGAAGACATCTACCCATTCCGGAAAATATGAAGAAAAATAAATTCAGTTTTAATCGAAGCTTTCCTCGGCGTTGTCGTCCTGTCTGCATTTAAGGTCTCTAATCTCAGACTCGGCGGAGTATTCCTCTTATAATCGTAGCTAAGTCTCTGTTTGCTGCCTCAAAGATCCTTGTTATCTGACAAACCCAACCATTCTCCTTGAAGTGCTGGTTGCCGGTAGTTATTGTCGCAGTCGATACTCAATATGATTCTATCCCCATCTTTCACGGCCACGAAGTAGTTCACTATTAAATGATGCTTTGCCTTTTAGGTCCCACGGCCCACAAAATAAGGGGCTGTATTGACGTCGATGTATGGGGGCACAGAAATATGTCCCCTGGGCATGTCCATCAAAGACAGAAAAAAGGGGAGGGGAAAAGAAAAAAAAGGAAAGTTCCCCCTCAAAAAAAGTTTCCAGCCACAAATAATCGATCCTTAACCCTTTACTCCCTCATATCAGCATGCATATTCTCCATACTGTTCTCTCTACATTTCCCAGGCTTCTGACAAGGAGAATTTGTTCAGCAATCAAGGGTTTCTTTAGTTGGTGATCATGTCCTTTATTCTCATGACCTTAATGTTTGATTTCGGGGTTATGTTGTAAGAAGAAATTAGTTGTTAGTCACTCTTGGAGGTTTTAAAGGGTTAAACCTCTCGCTTGAAAGAAGAAGCACAATCTATTGCGTGAAGTATGTAGAGCGTCTATGAAATTGATTACGTGCATCGAGTGAGCAGCAGACAAAGAGGATAAAGCGTGGTAAAGTCGAAGTCAGCTCAGTGGCCCCAACATCCCACCCTTCAGTACAACATTTTCCGAGTTGACTGGCTCACAGCCACTCTAATCTGCTACCAAATGCGGTTTGAACGAGGAGCGTTACGATTAAGAGATATTCTAAAATAGGAATGAACGATTGTAACCGGCATGAAAGCGTTCATCGATCCTAGAAGAAAATTAAAATTGCCATAGCTAAATGGTATAAGATAAATTGCCTGTGATCGCTCGCCAAGTCTGTCAGTGTCAGATTGAAATGATGAAAAGCTGGGAAATTGGCGGAATCAATGGCACCGAATTGAGACAAAAATAATTCTCTCATAACTTTGTTTAACCTGTCAAGAAGACCGAAATGGACTTAAAAAAGAGCAAGCCTCGTTTTGCCTGATCTCCATGGTACCCAAAATTTCCCTCAGCTACGCATAGCAATTGAGCGCTTTTCGTTCGCGAATTTTCTTTTCATCTGAATGAAAATTAAAGTTATCTGAATCGCTTAGTAGTCAAATGATCCTTCTTAACGAATTTAACTAGAAAAATGGAACAGTATCACATTGATAAAGTGCTCGCCTTTTTCGAGAATGAAAATTTAAGATCATTTATTAAAACATAGGTTTTTTCGAGAGGTAAATAAAATAATCAGCATATATTTACTTTTTATATTTTTTTTCCGAGATAGTTATTCGAAATCCATAGACAATGTTGATAAGACATTAGATAGATAGTTTTCAAGCTGTGTTTACCTTTGTACCATGATAGCAATTTTCTCATGGACCGTGATGAACGCGTTCACGCAGGTGACATTCAGTCATTCATATTTGGTATCTCTCAGTCTTGACGATGTTAACACATTTTGAGGCAAAAAATAATACATATCATTTCGTTGAAATCAAATTTCCTGGATTGTCGTTCTCGAGTGAGAGCTATACTTGTCCTCTTTTTTGAGAAAGGGAATAGACTAGAATGACTCATTGCATATTTATTGACAAGAGAAGAGACAATACGTCTGTCAAAATTTACATGAAACAACCGCACCCTCATGGTATTTTCCCTCATCAAAATAAGCATTTAAGGTTCTCCTAATCTGCTGAAATAGAGTTTATATCCAAATCCGTCGACGATATGGATATATAAAGAAGAGACTTACCCGTCATGATGGTGATCACGAATGGAAACCATGGTTACACCATTTCTTACACAGAATGAAGTTAATTTTTCACAGGGAACTGATCAAACGAAAATATATTCCTTAATTAACGTTTATTAAAATCATAATGCTATCACACCTAAGTCGCCAGCTCATCCACTTTTTCTGGCTCTAAATTAATTGTTGAAAGCTGGAAAACTGGATCAATAGTACCAAATTGTGACAAAAAATAATTGTTATCGAATATTTTTGATCCCAAAAAAGTGAGCTTCTCGCGCAATGGGATGGAAGCGAAAATATTTTTTATGTTGGTCGTCTCTGATACTGTGTTGGTATCTTTTTTATTTCTGTTTCGTTGGTTTGAACTTGAACTGGCGAAAAAATGTCAAACGCAACGACTCTGAAATGGAAACGCAAATACTCAGGTTTTCGAACTCAGCAAAGTTTAACGTTTCTAATTCAAATGCGTTGCTCTCTCGGAGAGATTCAATGGCTGTCATTCATTCGGATCTGTCTTATTCCAGTGCGGTGAATAACAATACTCTCTATCTGTTGATTTTGCCCTTTTCAACCAAAGAGCTGGAAATTGATCGTGTACTGGAGGACAAAGACAAACATTCCGCGAGGAAGTTGAGTGATTTTCTTCGTTCAAGGAAACAATTTCATGGTGCAACTTGTATGCAACAACAAGAAAGCCATGAAATGAAAGCCTCTGGAAATTTCACGTTGGATCAATCTTGGTGTCGTTTTGTGAAAAAAATGTGGAGCGTTCACATTAGGAATACAGGCCCTGTAAAAAACCTCACGCTACAAAAGTCTCTCAGGCTTGACTCCGACAGTGAAACTGGGACAACTTACGCGCTTGTACAAACCTGCAATATAGTACAAAGTCCATTTGTAATAAGGAAGGATGTGTTTCAGAAAATTGGAGGATTAATCGAAGGTTTTGGGAAATTATCCTTATTGGAGTTTTTTCTACGATCAAAGGGCGAATTGAAGATTGCAAAGCTTGGTTCTTGCACGTGGACACCCAAAATCAAGCGTACGGATCGAGGAAATTTGAAAGGCTCAAAGGAGGTCCCTGAATATGCAAATTTTGCCAATAAACATACGGTACTTCGGATCGTAACGGAGAATAGAATAGAATGGACGGCTTGTGTCGCAAACTGGAAGATGTGCTCGGAGAAACCCTATGTAGAGCCACGAGGTCTACCCGGCGTAGCTGCACCGATATGTTGCAGCACTGTTTTATGGAAAATGCTGAGCGATTTTGTAAGAGGGCTAAACAAACTGGGGCTAGAATACCGAATTGTTGATGGCACCTTGTTAGGGGCTGTCAGGAGTAAAGCGATCATACCGTGGACATACGACGTAGATATTGCATTACCTAGCTATGTGTATAAAAATGCTTCAACGTATACTGCTCTTGAAAAGGTTCTCGAAAACCAATACTATATAGGTATGTCTTTCATGGACATGCCCAGGGGGCATATTCTTGTGCCCCCGTACATCGACGTAAATACAGCCCCATATTTTGACGGGCCTGAAGACTTAGAAGGCAAAGCATTATTCAGTAGTGATCTGGAAGAAGCAGTAAAGGGAATGTTGCCAGTGTCTCAGTACTGGAGACAACGTGGCTATGTAGATTTTTATGAGGCAGGTCAAGCCCTCATGGAAGGATCGTCCATTGTCACCATCAACAATAAACAATTCGTGACTGTGAAAGATGTGGATAAGATGTTGAGTATGAATTACGGCAAGAACTATCGGCAACCAGCACTGAAAGGAGAATGGTCAGGTTTGTCAGATCACAACGGTCCCTGAAGGAAATAACTTAGATATAGTCTAGACTCTAGGAATAATACAGCGACGAGTTTGTGTCGGATTAGGGACCTTAAAAGGAAAAAGGACGGCAAAGCTGAGGAAACATGGATTAAAAATAATGTATAATTTTCTTTACAATTTCACAAATGGGTGGCTGTGTCAGAATTGGTCATCTTGGTTCGCGTTCTTAGAACCACAGGTTTTGGTGATGTCGGGAGTTGCTTTGCTGAGGGCGGCTTAAATATTTATATTGTTTGAAAACGCACGTGCTGATCTGCACGGCTCTTTATTTAGCAGGCACAGGAGCCCATTACCCGGAGCCTCCATACCAATTGTACCCTTGAGTCAACCCTCTCCCTTTTTACTCGGGCTTTTCAAAGGAAATACCCGAGTTGAAATTCCGGCTTCGTTCGGTCGCAAATAGCGGTCAAGTCCTCATCACGAATCTGCAACCTTTTGAATCTGACGCATGCGCGACGCTCTGACCTTTGAGCACATGGCATGGTGCAATGGCGGACGAAGAGAAGCTTTCGCAGTGCAACATCAGCACGGACACTGTGTATAATACGCTCAAAACGCATACAAAATATGCACACATCGTTTGCGGTAGACCCACACTAAATGATGTCGAGCGTTTTCGGAACGGGTCGGTCCGCGAACCTCATGAGAGATCTAAATACTTAAAGAACTTTACAAGCAGACGTTGCCAGCACGATGGCGTTCGTGCCAAAGGAAGATCCCGAAGCTACGCACAGTTCGCTTAAAATATTTTTAACGACTATTCTTATTCATCCTTTTTCTAGACGTGAGCCAAGACGTCTACTGGTACACAGGGTAGAAAAAGCCGAGTCAAGTTAGTCTTTTGTCTACGAGTTTGTTATTTTACTTTATTATTTTTTGCAACTTGATAGTTCATTTTGTAAAGTTCTTTAAGTCTTTTACTACTAAGGTAATATAAAATATAATTAGCATGCTCTCGCATTTAATTTCGTGAGATGGTTGATTATACATGGGACCAGGGAGAGTAAGATTTCAGGGGGAGGTGGAGGTTTCGTTCGATTCTCGTATTTCATGTACGTGACATATTGTCGTCTCGCCTTATTTTAGACATTTATGTCTTGTTTTAGATGGTTTTAGATAGTTTGCGAGAGGCTGTAGATGTTTTTTAGGTGGTTGTAGGTGGTTTTTGAAATTTTTGAGGTGGTTGTAGGTGGTTGTGGGTGGTTTTAGGTGGTTGTAGGTGGTTGTAGGTGGTTTTAAGTGGTTTTTAGGCGGTTTTAGGTCGTTCCATGTTTTAGTACTTACGTTATGAGTGAACCTTTCATCGAGAAACACGCTATGTCAACTGAGCTATCTAATGTTAATCGAGGGAAGCAGAGATGCAAATCTCATCGTGTATGTAGACGCGATCGTGAACCAAGCAGAATACCAATACGAAGTGAGAAAAGGTTAAGGAACGAGCAGAAAGGTTAGAAAATTTGTCCATGCACGTATTCTCCCATGTATCCCCATATCATCTAAATTGTAGCTCAAAAACTATTCAATAAAAGGACGTTTAAGTTTAACTGTCGTAAGAGAATTCGTTAAAGTATAACAAAAGGTAAAATATCGTGCCAGTCGATATTTAAAATTGTTTTCTTGTCACCAACTTATGTGTTCTTGCAAGAATGAAGCTCATGAAGCAAATTATTGTAACTATAACTTAAATAGAGACATAAAAAAAAATCCTGGCCCTTTAACATATGTTGACCCTAACAAGACAATAGTAGCTCTACATAGTCAAGGTAAAGAGTTAGTTTTTGGACAGAATGCAGGACAACAATGTGTTGCAATGGGTTTGTATTCTTTGATTTGCGATAACACACGAGGGATCAGCTCTGCAAATGATCTTATACAAATAATGAATATTGGAAACCAGCTTTATTCAAGTTTGTCACGATTAACCAAACAGGCATATTTAATACAGTCAGAATTACCAACAGCATGAAATGTGTTTGATACTGATTATTAACTGGAATACACTGAAAGCTACTCTGGTACTGTTCACCAAGAAATTGCTATAGAGGGATATCTGTACTGTATGTCTTAAGGAAGAGCCTTTGATTCGCTCATATCTGAAAGCTACACAGATTTCATATCAACAGTAAGGTGTATTACTGTGCAATCAATAGTAATAGTAATATGAGGTTCAAAATATTTTATTCTCATGCTAGTTTGTATGGTAAAGGGCAGCCTCAAGGTTCATGTGTTTTTCTCAAAGTACCATCTCTTGATAGTTTAGTACATTATTTACAGGGTATACGTAACAATGATATATTTGAAGTGAGAGGAGTACAAAACAGTCTGAATGAAACCATAAACTTTAATCTAAGCTGGGCTGTAGCTCCATACTCTCTTTGCCACTCTATAATGAAACCATGTAATTACTGGAATTACAACTCATCCTTGCCCACAATTGTTGACAACGCTAAAGAGATATGTCGTAAATAAGGTTAAGAACACAACCAGGGATAAACCAATAATTGTATAAGAAAACTTAGGCAAATGTAAGCTCAAAAAACAAAGTTTATTTCCGAAAGAAAGCCCAGGTGAACGCAAATATGCGTTTAGTTTTTTATGAAAACGTGCAGCCGATGTCTAGTTATTTTAGAGCTGAGATATGTGGGGGGTTCTTTAATTTCCCGCTCGCTGATTTTCGCATAACACCCTAAAAAAAATGTTAAACTTTCCGCGCTTTTCGCCATTATTGAAATACTTTCGTGCGGCCGAAAATATTATGTAAACACCCGCGAAAAACCCCGTGGGAGGTGCTTCTAAAAATAAAAAGATACGGGACAGGGTCGACTCAGAGGGCAAGTATGGAAGATGGGAACTCCGGATAATGGGCTCTTGGCAGACATAACTAATTGATTGATCATTGATCATCTTGTTTTATTTTTGATCAAATTCGGAAATAACAGGCTCCTCCGCCAAAGTGAAAAATGCGTCATGTCACCGCTGACAGCAAAGAAAGATTTATGAAATCTTCTGGTTTGCAACGCACACGGCGGCTAAACAAAAAACATGCGCAAATGAGTCAAATTTGGTGAGCCGCGCGCCAATAACACAGCGGTGAAAAGTCCACCAACCGCAAATGAATCGATTCTGGCCTGCCGTGCGCCAATTTCCTGCACACAATTTCAAAGGAAAACGTACATGTAAAAAACAACCGCTGTTTCGCAAAATAAGTGAAGGAAAATTGAAACGTTTACAGAAATAATAAAAAGGAAAAAAACTGGTAAAAATGAAAACTTGGGAGTCTCGACCATTTTTTCAAGCGAGAAAAAATAAAACATGATGATCAAATAAACACGTGAGAATAATTGACAGAAAAAACGTAAGTTTTTTGAAAGGGAAATAAAACAGTCCGCAGCCATTTCTTATTTGTATATATCATAAAACGATTGCAAGTGCTAAGTAGTGTCTGCGCGTGTGTGGAAGTGGAGGCAGCTCTATTTCTTGCTCTCTTTCTTTGTCAGAGCCTCTACGCTTAAGTGACATGTAAGGCAGCAACGTGCTCCCTCCACAACTGACTGTCCTTTGCCATGAGCTTGATGTCCTTCCAGGTCTTCCCCATCTCCTTAATTTCTCTCTTTGCTGTCCGCCGTAAGGTGTTCTTTGGGCGGCCACTCTTGTGTTTCTCTTCAGGCGTCCAGTGTAGAGCGGTTTTTGCGATAGAGGCTTCTTGGCGGGTGACGTGTCCAATCCGCCTCCAGCGTCTCCTCATCAGGATGGTCGCCATTGGTTTAGTTCTGCACTGTTCAAAGAGATCTTTATTCGAGATGACATTAGAGAATTAGATTACCACCTTGAGGCTGTGGGAAGGCTTGCTTGCTCCAGTGAGCCTGCGAGCTATGCTGCCTGGACCTTTTCAAGTCCTGGTAGGGTCACCCATGCCAGTCAGGTTAAAGGTCAGGGGCCAGACAAAGAGCGATCTACCAGTCCTCCAGGCTTGGGGGTTTTGCACAGGGCTGACAACCCTGTCATGTGAACAGCTTTTTGTTACGGAAACGGCAACGTGTGACTTTCATGAAGCATCTGTGCAGAACGAGCCTTCGGAATCTACGCCATGGACAGCAGGTCATCGTACAAGACCTAAAAAAAGTGTTTAGACAGTAGATAACGCAATTTTTATTTCCTTCAACAGATCACTACGAACCTTTACATCTTTTCGCGTTGTAATGGTTGTTTCGGTCGTTTTACCTATAATATTTTGCGCGGGAAATTGGTGCGTGTCTAACCAAACTTGACCGATTTCCGCATGCCCTGTGTTTCATCACCGTGTTGCAAACCAGCAGGCTTTACAAATCCACAATAATAGTCCTTTGCTCTCAGCGGTCACTTTGATCGACGAGCCTTTTATTTTTCAAATATTAGTCATCAGGCAGGACTAGAGGAAATCAAAATGATCAACAGTCACTGACCCACTGATGTCAAAGTAATATCCCTGCTTTACAACATGTCAGTCATGCGTGTGAGCGTGAATTTCCCGCTCAAACTAATCTTTTACCTTAGCCAATTTCAGGTTTGATATTTTCATAAAAGAAAGTATTTGAATTTAAGTCTTACTCATTTGATTTGCCGTTGTTTTCGCCATTAAATCTGCGTTCTTTCAAAACTTAAACAATGAAATGCAAAGATGCAAGGCTGCTATTTGCATCACATTAGTACTAGTGTCAATAACCTTTTTCATAACAATGAAATTTTGTACGGAAGGCTTTTATCGCCTAGAAACCATTTACAAACAATTCATTTTTACAGAATAATAGCAGTTTTACTGTTCAGCCCATTTAGTTGGTTTTTCAAATATCTTTTCCTCCGTTTATGTATTTTAAGTCGTTGACATGGCTCGCGAGCTTAAACGAACAAAAATAGATTTCGTGGTAAACAAGTGTTGGCTGCGTTAGGGTTTTTGGCGCCATTTTCGGATGGCCAAGAAAGATAGAAATATGCGTTGAAAAATCGTGTTTTATCATCTAATTTAACGAAGAAAAGGCTGAAAATTGACAAAAAAAGTGACCGTGTTGGGAGTTTCTTTTCACATTTTGTGACAAGCCTACAGTTCTATTGTTGATATAGAAGACTATGTTTATATATTTTGTATTGCGCTCTTTCAGTTCTAGATGTTAAAAAAAATTTAACTAAATCCTCAATGTGTTTCCTAAGCAGCAACGAGCTTTCAGAAAGGAACGTCGACTACAGCTAATTTTAAACCTTTTTTACCGCCGTACAATTAACGCTTAATTAGCTTGCTTTCCGGGACAAAGGCGACAGAAGATTACATTTGCATAACGAGCACAATCGATTTGTAAGTTCCTTATTACGACGCTTTCTTGTTTGGACGTAAGAAATTACGCTACGGTTGTAAGGAGCTCCAGCGGTGGATACGCAGCAAATGGCAGGTAAATAAGTCAGTGATTGCATTGGTTAGAACAAGTTATTTACCTTCATGGAATTTTTCAGTTTTAAACCTTGAAGTTGACTGTGTTGCCACTTTAGCGCGATACTGTAAACACAGACACTTCTACGTCTTAATTTACAGTGCTTTTGGTTATTTCATAGAGTTAATTGAGGTCTTCGAGTAACGGTTTGTAGCGGTTACAATACAGTTAATCTTGTGTATTGTTGAGTAATAGTCCAAGATATTGTCGAGCGGGATAAGTTCTTTGAGCATAAGCTCAGTTACATAAGTTGAATTCGATTTCTTGAAGAATCATAAACGCAGAAGTACAGGACGACTCAGATGACCGAGACTGAAATGAGATCGAAAAGCTTTCATCGATCACTTAGACCAGGATTTGTGAAATAAATAAAACCGTATTTTTAAAATTTTTTTCTAGGAACAAAGGTAAAGAGGACTTGAACAACAATTAATAAATATGCACCTGCCTCTTTTAAGCGGGCTGTGAAGAAAAAATACTTTCACTATAGTTTTAACCTTTTTCATCAAGGTTCAATACTCTGTCATTAACGTCTCGAGTTATTTGTATGGAAAGTACCATTCTTACGAAGAAAGATTCCGAGTGAGGCGGTTAGAGGAGCGTCAATGAAGAGCACACTCAGATATTCATTGACCCGTATAAAAACCTTTGTTCGTTTGAAACCGCAAGGCGGAAATAACAGATTACAGTGATAACTGTTTTAAATAAGTCCCGCATTAATTGAACGGAAACTCACCCAGTCACCCCTCCCTCAATAAGAGATTGGTCATTAATTAGCGTGCCAGGGGGAGGGGGGGTGGAAAGTATATGAGGATTTTAGTTGTGTCACAATTAAATTTACCTAACCTCCCCTCTAAGGCTCTGTTGTATTCAAATGATACCCCCTCATTAACAGTAAATTTACTAGTCCCCGCCTTTTTACTCCGTCATAAACGACTGATTCCCCCTCCATCCCCCCCCCCCGCGAAAATCCTTTCATCCACCCTGGCGAGAATTAAAGACTAATCCCTTTCTATAATGAACCACTCGGCGGACATCTGTTTTATGCAGACTGGGAAACCAAAAATAACCCCTCGCGATACTTGAAGGAGAAGAGTAATTCTTTAATTATTTTATATCAAATTTTAGACGGAGCCATGGTGACCACCAAAGTTGCTCTCTGTGACTGGTTTTTATTCATGGTGTCCTACCCAAGAACACAACCGCTGACCAACACACAAAAATTCACCCAGTGGTCGGCCCTGATCGCCTATTGCCTGGGAGGAGCCAGTTTGCTTCTTTGCCCTCAGCTGTGGAAGTTTTTGTTACAGTTAAGCTTCGAGGGTCGTACTGAGGGGTACCTTCGTCTTGTTGGATTGGGTGTATTTATAATTGGATTTATACTCGTCATCTCCGCGCGCTCCAATAACCAAGTACCCAGGCACGGGGTCATTTTAGGGTCCATTCCATCGCGTCTCATCGGCGTAAATGGGATCATACTCATGATGGTCCTCAGAGGCTATATCCCGTTATCTTTTGCGCTGGTGTTCATGGTGATCGATACATCACTTCCCCTGATCACCCTGGTGTTATTGCGCCGTGAAACAGAAGAATCCTCTTCGGGAATTTCTTGCCGAAACATCTGCGCAGAAATGGTAGTCATCTTTTTCGTTGGCGTGTTCCAGTTGTTCTTCTGGCTCGTGTTTCTTATAAGGCCTGACATCGCTTATGACATCCTACAGCTTGATGAGTTCAATGGTCACTCCGCTGGCTTCTTGGCAAGTGCGTTTTTCACCCTATCCATTCATGGTTGGTATCACATAGCGAACGCATGCACTGTTAATCGACCGGCTGTCCCAGCGGCCTTTTTTTACCGAGTGTTCATCAGTGTACCGGTGCTATTCATTTTGGTTTTGGTGGATCAGATTGAGCGCAATCTTTTCCTTGCTTTGATGAGTCTCGACATATGTTTTTCGATTATGATTTTACTATTTCTGGCTTTTGGCCAAAATCCTACCACATCGTCAACTGAGATTTCTGAAGAAACACTGCTAAAACATGAAGATAGAGACTAAACTGTATTGTTGGGAGTAAGATTAAGAACTACGACAGAGCATAAAATTGTTGATAAAAGCCTGCTGAACGGGCGTAATTTATTTTGCCTTTTTCAGTGGCGCGGAAACACGGACGAGCGTGAGGCAGGCGCGAGGTAGGCGCGAGGTGAGAGCGAAGTACGAATCACGCGCGAGGGAAATAGCGCGTTTGCCTCTGTTCGCCCGGAAAACGCAAAAAAGCACGCTTGTTAAGCCAGCTAGAACTGGTATTATATTTGTTATGTTGGGGAGAGTTTCGAAGATAATTAAAATTAATCGTAGCCTTGGTTGCAGGCGATGAAAATGAAAGGGAAGGAAAATGTAAGGTTTATTATTTCGCCACCTCGCCTCGATTCTAGGGTAGAACTACATGTAAGACTTAATATAGTGTCAAGAGAAGTAACCACAACAGTGATCAAATGCACAGTCGCACTCTTTATATGAGCAGAGTACTGTTTAATTCTCTGGACATTGCACTCCGTCTTAAGGCGGGGGTAAACCTGAAATTTGCTCAAAAACTGAGTTTTTTGTTTTCCTCGGAATTTGCAGCTTTGGGTATTCAACTTCGCTGTGGAAAAATAATTTTCTACTTATTTTCACTACGATTTCAAAACTCCCGCTCTGGCTAATGGCGTGGTCACCATGGCAACGAGAAGAGCATTTTTTTTTTTATTTTTTAGTTGTTTATGACGTGTTATTCTGGCAACCAAGCTCCAAACGGGCAGGATTTAACGAGAGATGTAGTCTTATTGAAGGGTTTTCTATTTATGGGATAGATTTAGAGGCAGTTTCTGTCGAATGTGACACTCGGTGTACTCGGAGCAATCAAAGGAAAAGTTATAATCAAAGGAAAAGTTATATCGAAAATGGTCGGAAAGAAAAGTAGATCCGTCTACATCTGGAAGGCGAAAACAAAATAAGAGTCTGAAGAAACAGCTTGTTGACGAAATTGAGCAGCTGGATGAAAATCGCTCTCTGACTCGGAAAAGAAACCGTGGTTCCTCCAAAAGGAAATATGCCGCTTCTTTTAGACAGCTCTGATGAAGAGTATACCTTCAATACCGAGGAAAGCGAGGGATTTAGATTAATAAATGAGAAAAATTTATCCACGGCCGTCTCAAAGGCACACGTGTGTGAGAAAGGTGAGAAATTTTTTTAAATCTCTGTCGTTCTCTGTTCTCGATTATGACTTATTTCCCATATCATATCGACCCATAGTTCCAGTAAATACACTGAATCTACATGTAAGACTTAATATAGTGTCAAGAGAAGTAACCACTACAGTGATCAAATGCACAGTCGCACTCTTTATATGAGCAGAGTACTGTTTAATTCTCTGGACATTGCACTCCGTCTTAAATGAAAGATTATTTTAAGTACAGGTCGTCATTTCTTTAGTACTGATACGAAAAAAAGCAAACATCGAAACTAGATTCGTTTCAGGTTTTTAACATTGATTGACAACGAAAAGTAATGGAAGTAAACTACATATACAAATTTATCTCTGGCATACACAAGAAACACAATTCAATCGGCGGTATGGAAGGCAGATTCTTAGGAACCCCTGGGGGGGGGGTAGGGGATATGTGAATCCCCTTTCAGTCTAAGAAAGAGTTTTTTGTAGTGTCCTCTCGGCATGGTGAAGACAGGAATCATCATCTCGCAACAATAAAAAATATCAATAAAAATATAGTCTAAAGGAAACTAGCGACACAGATACGGTAAAATACATGAATATCTGTAATACTGTACTCAATCCCTCCTATACTTTTGCAAACACTCATAGCCTCAAGTACTATTATACAAATACCAGCAAAGCTTTTAGCACAACCTAGGCCTCTCGATTGTGCTCGGCAATTTTAGAGCAAATCTTGTCCTTCGCAGCAACGTTTTGTGGTTCTAATAACCTCGATTGATTTGAGCGAAATATGGGTTTAAAGGAAATATCAAGCACGAAAAAGTCAACGGTTTCATAGAAAAACTTCAATTTGTGCGAATTTCTTGAATTTTTATAAGCTTTTTGAACACATAACCTGTCACTAGACAACGTTTCGCAGACCTTTTGCGATCCTTTTCTAATCTTACATGGGAAAATCCGTTCGAACGACGATCGGCAAGACGTCCAATGAACCATGTGTTTTGTTCCTTTAGACTTACAGAGTTCCTTAAATTTCGTCTATACTCGCGAGCAACTCTTTCAAGATAACTTTTAAGCTATTTTCCTGGACTGATGCTAGCAATTAGTGCGAAGAACAAAAACTAATTAAAAGTTTTTAATTAACGTGTATATGAAAATATCAAGACACTAAGCTGGCAACTTTTTGGATTTTTTGCAATGTTTTAGCAACTTTTTGGCATTCTAGCGGGCAATTTTCCGGCGTTCTACGAGCACAGTCTGAACAGGTCAAGCAGGGCTTGATCAGCTGGGGTACTTTTCTACCCGTGTGTTACTGACAGGGTATTGTCTTAAATATGGCCAACTTCAAGTGCTCCACCCTTTCCCCACTCTCTCACGGCGCGCGATTGTCTAAGGGACCAAACCTTATTTACCGCCGGGGTGGGTGCGGGAAATTTTGGTTCTGCCACAATAAAATTTACCTGGTCCTCCCTTAAGGCTCATTAACTCATTAATGACCCCCTCTTAAGTTGGAACTCCATCTCCACTCCGTTCCCCGTGAAAAAAGTCAACGGTTAGTCCCAGTTGGATACCGGCTTATTCCTCGTCCCACTTCTTGACAGAAGTAGGCATTGCTCCAATGTAAATAATAATCAACCTTTGTACATCCTGCGTAAGAGAGAGTTTATCGTTGGTGATATCACCATTACGATAGTCATTTCCATTATTGTTATCTTATCTATTTTTTAAGTGACCTTAAAGTAGTTTATCTCCCATTCCCTGCTGAGGAAAATGAATTCCGTGTTTCGTGCATGACAATTAATACCATGTTAAATGCTACTCGATTTATAAAAGCTTAGCGTTGTCAATATCACTAAGCTTAAACGCGAATCTTTTTTGCTTGTTTACATCTTGTTTGCTAGGTCTCGCCTTAATCTTTACCGACAAATAAGGCGAATTAAGGCGAATTAAAAAAATCAGCAAGAGTTTTGCGAACATAAGATTTGACATGAGCTGACAGATCTGAGACGGATGCCCGTGGACTGAAACTTGGTCACAATTAATCTTGATGAGTATCGATATCCTTCCATCTCAGCAAACAAAGAGGATATCTGCACGCACACCCCAAGCTGTAGGTGTCTACTTCTTCGCTTGTCACAAGCCGAAAGAACTGGTACTTCACTGTTCATCGTTTCAAGTCTTAGTCACTTGATCTGACTATTTTGGTAAGCAAACTTTTCTTTTGGCGAACCCTATGTGCTCGACTCGATTCACATAAATCCTCTTTGCGGCCAAACACCCGAATACAGATTCTTTATCTACACGTTGTTCTGAAACGCCAGTTCCAATTGCAGAGCTTGTCTGCTTTTTTTAAGTTTCCGCTAATAAGAGCGTCGACTGTGTCTAAGAAATCTGAAGCTACCTGTAGTTTCCTCTATTTAACAAACATAGCATTAAACACTGAAACCTTAACAGTTATCACAGAGCTCTTTGTTCGCTAATAGAATCATACGAAGCGACCTTTGTTATCTCTGTTTTCTTAACGAATTAAGTGGTAACTTAAATTAAAAACATCGTTATTAACCGTGGATGATAACTTCGAAAGATTTTGGTAGGCTTGTTGCAGTTAGGAGAAATAAGATATTCTTAATCTTACCGGAAAAATAAAATTAACGAAGTACAACCAAACGTCACCACATTTTCACCTCACAAGGCTAATCAAGGCACCCCACGCTTCTTGACATTAGAAAAGATAATTTACAATTTTTTCTCTTTGATCTGAATGTGATGTTCAGTTATTATTGCATTAACAAATCAGAGAAGTGGTTAAGGGAGGGGAGGGGAGGGGAAGGGGGAGCTTATGAAACGGGATTTCCTGTTAATACACACACAAATGATTAAAAAAGTTTTGTGTTTGTATTCGGTTTGAGCTTACCTACTTTCTAAACAAGTTCATGACGCGTCGTAACGATTGTTGAAGGCACAAGGAAGATATACGACGGTTGAAATGAAACACTGTTGCGAAGGAAGTTCCGTGGCAGCCCTAAAGCTGTTGACTTCCGGTTTCAGCAAATTTAACAGGATCTCCATCGGAGTCCTTTTTCATCCTAATTATCTTCATATGTCAGCTGAAAATGAATAAATCCATTTCCGTTGGCAGTTTTGTGGCAAAGATATCTTGACTTCGTCTCAGCTTGAGTTAAAAAAAAAGGTTAGTTTTAATTAATGGCTGCATGTCTCTCGTATTTCGTTTTACGTCGTTGCCAATGGGGTCCACTGTCAGAAAGGATAACTATTTACCTTGAACCGTCAAAAACCTAGCTAAATATTAACTGTCAAGAGCCTCTTGCCACGAGCAGTTCTAGATCTCGACGAATCTTTAGACTGGTACACCAGTATCCTGGTTATATCATAGGCGGCCCAAGCGTGTCATGTGTGATTTCGGGGTTTAAAGGTCGTCAGTAGGAACATCTAATATGCTGAATATGTATATTTAATTCGAGTAGTACAGGCCAAAATTTCCTCAGCATGAAATCCATCATTCTGTCTATTTGTGTTCAATCACTCTTCAGTTCACTGAAATCGATATTTTCTGAATATTTCTCGGTTGTGGGATAAAATTTAAATTGAATTTTAAGTGTTTACTCTTGCCGTGAAAAACAAAGCAAACATTCATGTCTCCTTTCCTCAGAAATGCATAGAGGTGTGAAATTATACCAGTGTCGATATGTTGGTCCATTTCTAGGTAACCAGTCAAGTTTTGTTTAAAAGAGAGCTTTAATAAATGGAAACCAGACAAGGTCGTTGTCGGAATAAATTTCGGCCATGAAAAGATGGCCGATTTATGGCTAAAAATTAAATCTTAAATAATTGATCATGAACGATTTTAAATTTTGTAAGCTCCAACAAAATTTAGGGCACAACAAAAAAGGAAGTGCCCGGAAGACATAAAAACATAAATTAAAACAAAAGAGATCGTGACTCTTGCGCAAAGAACAGTATTGATATCAAAGTCATCAGATAGTCTTGTTACTGTTGCTCAATCGATTTCAGATGTTACGACCCAGTCCCCCTCAAGTTTTAACCCTTCAGTACTCCCTGCCTTTCTTCGTTGACTTAGTATCTTAGTTAAATATTAACAATATAGCAGAGGCAGAAGATATAAATTCTTTTATTAGGGGGCAAATAAATTTATTCAACGCACGAAATATTACGTGTATAGCTTCCTTACCATTATTCCGCTATTTTGAAAAGAGACAACACCAGGTACAAAAGGAAGTCGACAAAATGACGTTGAAAACGGCCTGAAGATACCAGACGGCCATGAAATAAATGTAAAGTGGACTTAGCACGTTATATTACGTGCGTTTAAATTTTTTTTATCATTTATCTTCCTGGCTTGTTTTTTTCCCATTTGCCTGGAAAGCTTAAAATGTAGGACTAAAACATCGGTCCTGCTGACCGCTCACTTTTACAAAATTTTCATTTTTCGTGAACGAAAGTCTAAATTTCCAAACATATCTATTTTCTTTCCTTTTCCCTCTTTGTTCCCATGCTAATTAACGCTAGCTTAAGGTTAAATCTTAATTCGGGTTTCTTTATCTCTCAGTTCCAAAGCCTTTATCGAATAACTTTCTCTTTTCTTCGAAGGGCATCCAATCATCAAATTGTAAACAAAAAGAATTATATGAAATTTTCCTTTTAAATCTTTCAGATCTGAAATGAGATTTTAATAAAATGGCCCAAAGATGAGAGTTCGCCTGACCGCGAATCAAACTTTACTCCAAAAATTTGCCTTCATTTCATTTACCGCGGACATCTCGAACTCCAAGTATTGCGTAGCATTTTCTTTCCGTCAGAACTGGACTCCATTACAAATCTTTTTTTCTCTTTCAGAGGTATTTTAACTATAATTATCATCATCATGTTCGGCTTGTTAAAATTCATGCTGTCCATTCCTCGCGAGAAGCCGATGACCAAAACAGAAAGATTCACTCAGTGGTCCTGCCTACTCGCCTATGTCATCGGGGGCGCCAGCTTTCTCTTCGCCCCTCAGCTTTGGGCCTTCATATTGCAGCTGGACCTTCAGAACCGTTCTGAGGGGTACCTTCGTTTGGCGGGGCTCGGAGTGATCGAAATTGGTCTTATTCTAATGATTGCAGCTCGCTCCAATCGTAAGATGTCCCCGCATCAGGAATGTCTGACTTCAGTTGTTGGTCGCTTGCTTTTTGTTGATTCAATACTTGTGATGATGATCCTCAGAAACATGCTGCCCCTCTCTTTCGCTCTGTTTTTCATGGTCCTTGACTCGTCTCTCGCTCTCATCACCCTAGTTATTTGGTGCCGTGAAACAAACAGAGCCTCGATTGGTTCTTTTTTCAGAGAGATCTCCACACCAGTTCTACAGCCACGTAGGCCTCTAACAGCCACCTCTACGTCGGTCATTTTCCTTCTCGGGGTCATCCAGCTGTTTTTCTGGCTCGTGTTAGTTGTCAGGCCTGATTTTGCACAACGGATGTTTCATTTGGAGCCATTTCAGGGATATTCGAGAGGTTATCTAGCCTCTTATTTGTTCCTTATATCCGTGCACGGCTTATACCACGTAGTGGGAGCCAGCAATGTCAATCATTGCTTAAGCCCCGTCTTCACTAGTTACCGCGTCTTGATCAACATGCCGGTGTTGGTGATTTTGTTTTTTGTTAACCAGATCGAGCAAAACATCTTTGTTGTGTTGACTAGTTTCGATGTGTTTTATTCTGTTGTGATAACTATCCCCGTGTGGCAAGAAAAGCGATTCCAGAACAACGAAACTGAGGTGATAGAAATTTGATTTGTTGGAAAATTCCAACAAACACAAAACTGTACTCACTCGTGAGACATCGATTTGACATACTGAGTTGATCACGGAGAGAGAAATTCGACATCTACAAGCAAAAATATATTATTTTGTTCATCATATAAACACCATAGACAAGACAATTCGACAAATGACCTTGGATTGAGCGTGGTGAACGCTTTGCCATTCATTCATCAACCTGACAGAGTGGCGCGAAAGGCGAGTGTCGTGTCAGCAGCTGATTGGCGATATCAAACACACGACAAAATGACGTTATTTTAAGTGTGCAGTCATGGCTTTTCTCGGGGCTGGAAATCCTTGTAAAACCGCAGTTCATATAAAAATTAATCAAATTAAACCATAACAAGATCTTAGTGAACAATTTTTTAAATGTTTTTTCTTTATACCCTCTATTACTTAAGATAACAAGGAATAAATCCATTTGCTAAAACGTTGTGTTGAAGGTTTCCTCCCTCGAAAAACTTTCTCAAATGAGGAATAGAGAGGACCCTGGGAACGAGGTTGAGAGAAATTGCGTTTCGCTTTTTCCACTTTGGGTCTCAATATGCCATACGTGTTTAACATCATTAAAAGTTGTATAACATTCTGTAACGTGACCTGAACGCCAGTTAAAAGTGCACAGGTTTCCTGAAATATTTGAAATTTGAGAATAACCTCTTTAAGTGCCTCCTTACCTGGTTTGAGTGCCTAAATTCATTTTTTTTTTTTTTGCGTCCGTGGAACAGACTTGTGCGCTGAACACAATAAATGAGAAGAAAAATGGAAGAGCTGGTGTTCGCTTAATATAGGTCCCGATACATACGGTCTCACAGCTAAAACTGTGGATAAGGTCTGTAATGGGTTGATTTTTTGAAGAATGGAAGCTATCTACCTATGAATCACACAAATAGTGAATGATTAAATTATGTCATGAAAACAAAAGGATTGTTTTCATTTTCTTGAGATTTTGACTCCACAAACAAACTTTTGTTACCTCGTTCACAATCTCAACTCTCAATTGGTCGAGGTAATCCCAGCGCGCTCGGCAGCATTTTGTTTTGCTTTCCTATCAAAATTTCGGTAATTTGTCAGGGAGCAGAAGATGTTGACATTCTGTCCTGAATCTGTTCTAAATTGATTCTACAAACTTAACGACGGGAACAACTTCCACGGGATAGAAGCTGGTAATGATAAGCAAAAACAATTAGTTATTATAAACTGCCAGCAAAATGCAGCTAACAAACTGTGAAAGCCCAGTTTATCTAACAAGTCGCGAATCCTTTGAATTCTACAGGGACCTCGCGCTCTTTCTTCGCGAATTCCACGAACTTAACACAAACTTTGTTTTTATCACTGCTTTGTGAGGGGTTTAAAGCTGTGTCTCTGATGTTTGGTATTAATGCCATAAAATTTCGGTTAATTGTCAAGGGAGGGGAAGATGTTGACGTTCTGTCCTGAATCTGTCCTAAATTGATTCTGCAAACTTAACTACGGGAGCTACTTCCACGGAATAGAAGCTGTTGATGATAAGCAAAAAAAATCAGTAATTATAACCTGCTAATAAATGCAATTAACAAACTGTGAAAGCTTAATTTACATAACCTGTCGTGAATCCTTCGAATTCTACAAAGAATTCCGCTAACTTAACGCAAACTTTGTTTTATCATAGCTTTTTAACGGGTTTAAAGCTGTGTCTAATACCTACTATGTTAAATATTATGCCGAGACAAAAGAAAGTTCTTACTTCCAATACCTATTAAACAAGGTAGTCTTTGGCAGCAGGCCCTCAAACGTAGGAGACTTCGACTGCCACGCGCGGGCGAGAAATGGCCAACACACTAGTTAACTCAAAGGAGTCTTAGATTTTGTGGCAAATAGCAAGTAGGAAAATATAAAATATTCCGGTTATAACATCTTCAGCTAGCGTGTAATTTTACTATGACAATTTTTAAGCAAGCGTATCTAAAGCAAATGTTGTTGGTACTCAGAACGTTCCTCAATTTTTATTTTTTCTGCTTGTAGAGCCATGTTCATGAGAGTGCCCATCATAATCTCCAACTGGTTCAAATTCATGCTGTCCATTCCCCGCACGGAACCAATGACCAAAACAGAAAGATTCACTCAGTGGTCCTGCCTACTCGCCTATGTCATCGGGGGCGCCAGCTTCCTCTTCGTCCCTCAGCTTTGGGCCTTCATATTGCAGCTGGACCTTCAGGACCGTTCTGAGGGGTACCTTCGTTTGGCGGGGCTCGGAGTGATCGAAATTGGCCTCATTCTGATGATTGCAGCTCGCTCCAATCGTAAAATGTCCCCGCATCAGGAATGTCTGACCTCAGTTGTTGGTCGCTTGCTTTTTGTTGATTCAATACTTGTGATGATGATCCTCAGAAACATGCTGCCCCTCTCTTTCGCTCTGTTTTTCATGGTTCTTGACTCGTCTCTCGCTCTCATCACCCTAGTTATTTGGTGCCGTGAAACAAACAGAGCCTCGATTGGTTCTTTTTTCAGAGAGATCTCCACACCAGTTCTACAGCCACGTAGGCCTCTAACAGCCACCTCTACGTCGGTCATTTTCCTTCTCGGGATCATCCAGCTGTTTTTCTGGCTCGTGTTAGTTGTCAGGCCTGATCTTGCACAGCGGATGTTCCATTTGGAGCCATTTCAAGGGTATTCGGGAGGTTATTTGGCCTCTTACTTGTTCCTTATATCCGTGCACGGCTTGTACCACGTAGTGGGAGCCAGCAATGTCAATCATAGCTTAAGCCCCGCCTTCATTAGTTACCGAATCTTGATCAACCTGCCAGCATTTGTTCTTTTGTTTCTTGTTGACCAGATCGAGAAAAACGTCTTTGTAGTTTTGATAAGTCTCGATGTGTTTTATTCGGTTGTAATTGCAATTCCTGTGTGGCAAGAAAGGCGATTCCAAGGCAAAGTTATTGAAATGAAACTTGATTAGATGGTAGTTTTTGTAATTGCAGCCGTCATTTGAACTCCAAACGCAACATGCGTTGTTTAAGAATATCATGTGATATAATTAGCTACCGAATGGGATCGTGCAACACAATTGATTAACAGCTCATGCTCTCATTCTTCCTGTTCTGAGAATTAAATGTTAGCCAAACGAATGCGTTCCCATGCAAAGTACCAAAATAAACTGAAATTTTGATAATTGAATTTTTTTAGCGAGTTTTTGTTTGTTAAGTTCGCGCGGACTTTTAACATGGCGCGCATGCGCTCATTCTTCCTCCAGTTTGCTCTTTTTTCTGCGTGTTTGACTGGATGTTGAGTTTTCTTGCTTCTCAGTATGAAACGTCTTCATGAGAATGGTGCCCTTCGATGTGCGCAGGTAATTGCATTTATCTGTAATTCCTTCAGGACTGTTACTTGGCAACCATGCGCACTATTTGCCAACAAACTTTTAATGCTTTGAATTGTCTGCGCGTAAAACTGTCAACTTCAAAAACGGCGGTATGCTTTTTAAGTGATAAAATCAAACAACCGAAGTGTTTTTCACTGTTTGTATCGGCATCAGTTTTGTTGTCAACAAGGCGTGGCGACAAATTTGTATTCAAGTAGTTCGGTTTCGTAACAACTGTTTTGGAAATCGTTTCACGTAGTGTCAGTTGAAAGTCGCCGGTAACTCAAATATTTTGTTTGAACTTTGCGTCGCCCATCAGAGACGGCGGGCGAAGGTAATGATTCCGAACCACTTTAAACCCGTAAAGAATACTATGCTTCAAAAAAAAATAAGCTTCGTAATGGACAGTGAAAAATGTTATTTCGTAAGGCGAAGCTCTCAAAATAGTTGAAAAGTTTCCAAGTCTACATGCTAAATCTAAGTACCTCATCAGACAGCGTAGAGTGTTTTTAAAAGAAGAGAATCTTCAAGTATGATTTCTTTGTAAAATTAACAACACCGAAATCTTCATTGTCGAAAAACCCTTTTTTTTTTAAAGCTATATTAGTTTGACTATTTATGATATTATGACAAATGACCAAAGCCTATTACGAAAGATTTTTTAAACACTAAAATTAATATTTATTCTTCTTAGCTGACACCTTACAAACCGTCTGCCTGATCGACCTCGCGGTAAATTCTTGTCTTGCTCTAGATATATTCTATATCTTTCTAGTACTTTTTGTAACTTAAGACATTTTTCAAGTTACTCTCAAGTTCTGAGCAATTTATGTTTTTAAAAATATAAGAATCCGACAGTTAACAGTTTAGATTTGTTTGTAAATATAAGAGCAGAAACACTATGATATAAACAATGAAATATAAAAGATTTTCTTTCATGACCGAACCTATCAAACAAACAGTATTGAAAAAATTTAGTAATATTCTTTATTGAACATGACCTACACACACAATATAGCATTTATGACACCGCACTTTTTGAGTTTATATTTCAATTTGGCTCGAAAACTACCTATTCTATCGCGAAGAGCGAGCCTTGTTATTCACACAAAAAAGCGCATTTTCAATAACAAAATTTAAACGTAACCAAGCGGTTGGATTTTATAATTTTCCAAATGCCCAGCAATATGTTTATTGTTTTTTATGTTAGCTATTGTTTGTCGTCACTTTGCCTTTGATCCATTCGTTTTCTCCTTTGGCACGTGGTACCAAGAATCTGGGCTGATTAACATTAGGGAGTTGGGTAGTTTTCACACAGGGACAGGTAAATCGACCACCGTAAAAGTTTTAAGGCTGACGTTTCAAGCGTTCACTCTTCTTTAGAGCGATCTGACGAAGGGCTAACGCTCGACACGTCAGCCTTTAAACTCTTAACGGTGGTCGATTTACGTTTTCAACTTAGTTGTTAACACTAAAATTACATGTTATACTCTCCCACTGACGCAGCACCACAGTTTCTTTAGAAACTTACCCCCTTTATACAAAGGGACAGTTTGTTTTAGATTCATTAAGAAATATTTTTCGAAAGAGATATTTTAAGTACAACTGCACAACGTATAATTACAAAAGTTTGACTCAATGATTTCTACATGACTTTGATTCATGTATGATTTCTATATTTATTGAAAAAACATGTCAAGACGTAATTTTAATTAAAACTCCATTGTAAATGAATATTTCAGTTACATGAAGAACACGTAAAAAAAATTTGTCATCATGTTAAACGAATCAACATTCAGGGGACTGGGTTCGAGTTTCAAACTATTAGTGTAGATCGCAAACGTCTTTTTCTTTTGTCTATTGTTTTTATACAAACGACACTGATTACATTAAAAATTTTGCGTGCGCTGTGCAAGGTAACGTTGCGTAACGTAGCAAGTATTTAACGTATTGTTTATCGAAGTTGTTAGTTTTACTCAGTAAGTCCGCTTGCGAACATATTTCATATTAT